CCTTTGCTGACACCTAGTGGTGGCATTGGAAATTAATCTTCAATTAAAATCTTTTTTCCCCACATTGTCCTTGCTACTTGAATTGCAATATTTAACAGGTAAAATCGGTTTAGTTAACTTTAACCCTTTATTAACTTATAACCCTTTCCTTATATCTCTTTTTGGAATTAAATTAATTTTTGATTCCCCTATGCTTATTCCGTTATACCTAGATAGATGTATCCTGGACGTCCGCACCCGGCCGATAACGTTATAAGTCGGCCGGCGTAAAGGATATAAAAGAGGGCAGGAATTTTAAAATGGTCTTTCTGCTAATCACTGGTGTACACTGGGTATCTTGGAAGCTGTTTTGGGTCCGAACTGAGGTATTTTGATTGATCTATTGAAATGGGTGGGCTTCAAGAAAATGGTGACTTCTTTGTCGCCTGAGGGCTTGCTTTATATTGCATTCTTACAGTAGTGAATTGACTTTTCAGCTAATATCATCTCGACTGGTGTCCTTTGCTGACACCTAGTGGTGGCATTGGAAATTAATCTTCAATTAAAATCTTTTTTCCCGACATTGTCCTTGCTACTTGAATTGCAATATTTAACAGGTAAAATCGGTTTAGTTAACTTTAACCTTTTATTAACTTATAACCCTTTCCTTATATCTCTTTTTGGAATTAAATTAATTTTTGATTCCCCTATGCTTATTCCGTTATACCTAGATGGATATCTGATGCCCATGATATTCTCCAACTTTATCCCATTACGCTTAGATGGATATTTGATGCTCATTATAGTCTTCAACTATTTTGGACATTATAGGTCAATTAGACCATTAGACAGAATATACTTTTATATCTCTCTGCAATTTCGCTTAAGTTAATTTTTATTAATTAACACCTTTTGATTTCTTTTTTGAAATTAAATTAGTTTCTGATCTTTGTCCTTCCTATTATGTCTAGATGGATGTTTGATGTCCATTGTTTTTCCCCCTATGGTTGTGGACGTATAGGTCATTAGATCTTTGTTAGGTTATACCTATATATCCTTCTAAAGCATTTAACAGGTAAAATTGCCCAAATTTAACCTTAACCTAATGAATTATGATCTCTTCTTCATATCTTCTGTTAAATTTAATTAATTTCTTTTTTGTCTATCCTGTTATGCTTAGATGATATTTAATGCCCATTATATCCTCTACAACTGTTTTGGACGTGTAGGCCAATTAAGATCTTTGTTAGGTCATTTTCTCCTAGCTCCGTGAGCTTTCACATCCAGGGTGAGCCATTGAGTCCCATATATATATTTGATTAAATGCTCTGTATTGGATATATTAAAGTTGTTTGGCAATTGTATAATTTTCCTTTGATATACCTTTAGACTGCCTCAGCGGTAGAAATTTCTTCACAAAAATCTCCCCTGAAGAAGCTTGTGAGGGCGAAACATGTAGGGAGTAACTACAATTACACAACCAAGTTTGAATCTCAGTTTTACTCTGAGTACTGAAATTGTTTTTATGTTTCTGTGTTTTTTTCCTTTTGTGTTTTTTACAAAAATACAAAATTAAAATTACATAACGTTTTAACATGTTTGGTATTCATGTTCATGCACCCTGAAAGTCCCATCTTCTCTATTGAATATTTGCAATTTTAAGGGATGTGGTGCAATAATCATATCTGGTTTCCCACTCGCCACTTCACTGTTACTACTTAAATAACATGTCAAAGTTCACAGGAGGCTGTAGGATTCAATGATCAACCACAGTTTAATTTTAAACTTATGGGACATAAAAAAAATGATGAACCCACTACTGTGATCAAACAGTCACAAACTTTCACCCCTATTCTATAACCTATCTTCTTCCTTTCCAGACTTCTTTACCAAGATCTACATAAGAGCAACCCTTTTCTTAAACAAAATGGAGAAGAGATTTGAAATGGCTGATACTGTTACAATATGGCGGGTGATGTGGTGGTCAGCAATGATCATCTGTAATTTCCCTGCACATTTTTCTCTTCTTTGATCATTGTTGAGAACCCTTCATATAAATCCATCCACATTAGCCTGGAATAACGCAGGTGAAGTATACAAGATGGGAGAGCCCCCAAGATATGTCTATTACCTGATTAGATTTGAAGGGACACTAGGGCTATTGCCACCGATCTTCCACACATATTTTTTCCTTCTGATCCTCTAATGTAAATGGATGACCATACAATTTTTCTCTTACTAGCCTACCTATTAAAAGGCACTGTCTTTTCCCGTGTTATTTTTTTTTTGTTATTACAGGTACTTATATAGCGCCATCAATTTAGTCAGCGCTTTACACCTACACACACACGCGTGCGCATATATATATATATTGTACATTCACATCAGTTCCGAACCCTCAAGGAGCATACAACCTAAATCCAAAACCTGAAGGCAGATAAGTTTACGTAGAGATCAGAGACAGTTCCCCAACCAGGAATTGAAAGGAATAGGACAAAGCCTATACAACAATCATCCAGTTTTTCAAAAGCTCACACTCTAACTAAATATGAGAGAAGATGAATTCAGCGCTTCTCATTCTGGTCCAGCTAGTGGCATCCAGCTCCAGGAGGGTTCCAGGTGCTAACCAACATCCAGCTGCAAACTCCAGGTTTCTTTCACTATCCTGATACTGAGATTTGAGCGGGTTAAGTTTGCATTCCTCCATGAAGGTCCCTCCTTCAAGTAGCGGGAGGCCGATCCCCAACCCCCCTCCAGTCGGAACAGCATGAGCACCCAAAAGATGAAGGCAGTACCCTACCCGGAGATCTCGTCAACAGCTGTGGGTCAGCAGAGAAATCTCCAGACTCGTGGCCTGGCCAATCAAGTTGCCCCCTTCACACACTGGATAACATCATTCCAACATCACCCTGGACATCAGTCAGCCTTCTACCCTTCCAGATTTTTTTAACAAGCTTTCCAATATTAATAATAATATTATGGATTTCTAAAGCAATGACAGTTTGTGCAGCACTTTAACCACTTGCCCTCCTGAGGATTTACCCCTCTTCCTGACAGGCCTCATTTTGCTATTTCAACCGGTAAATACGTGATCATTCAATGCTGTACCCAAACAAAATTTATTTTCTTTTTTTTTCACACAAATAGAGCTTTCTTTCAGTAGTATTTGATCACCTGTGCTCTTTTTATTTTTCACACTATAAACAAAAAATTTGCAAAAAAAACTATAATTTTTACTTACGGCTATAAAAAATATATAGTAAACTCAAAGTTAGTCATAAATTTAGGCCAAAATGTATTCTGCTACATGTTTTGGTAAAACAAAATCCCAATAAGTGTATATTGATTGCTTTGTGTGAAAGTTATAGCATCTACAAACTATGGTATAAATCAAGGGTCTCCAAATTTTTCAGCCCGAGGGCCACATTGCAGGTTTTACAAATATTTGCGGGCTGAAAAATGTTTTATTTAATGAATTAATAAAATTTAGATAAATATGTTTTAACTTTGTAATCAGCATAACATGATTGAGAACAAAACAAAAACAACTTTAGTAAAACAAAGTGAAAACATTTGAAATAAACTTGAGCCTTTAATAAGGGTTTAACAAAATTAAAATCAGCCTGCACCTATCAACAAAGATTAATTTAAAATAAACAGCAAAACCTAATGAAAAGAATTTTGTGCTTCCTGTTCTTTGACAAATTTAATGCGAACGGTGAAGCTGATTTTTTTATTTAAGAATTTCACTGAACTGAGGTTTCAAGCTTGAGGAGCCAATTATTAAAATCAAGCTCAAATGATCATCCAATAAATTTGCTCAATATTTGGACTTGACATACTTCATTTTTGAAAATGTTTGTTTTGCACAGGTATGTTGTACCAAAAATTGACACAAGTCTATGAGCAAATTTCTTCAAATTTGGAAACTGTTCAGGCTGCAAAAAGTTATAAAATTCGATCAAATTTCCTTCTTTATATTTGTCTTTTAGTATGTCATCTGATTGTAGGTCAATCATTTCAAATTGAAACTGACATGGTAGTGTTTCAACAATGCAGTCAAATGGATTTTGAAACAGTTTTATTTCATCTGCTTTCCCATCGAGATTAGAAAAGCGCTCCTGAAATTGTTTTTGTAAGTCCTGAATGATTTCAGTTGCAAATGAAGAAGGAAACTCTGTTTCACTTTCCTCATTAAAATTTTCACATGGGAAATGAACCAAATTATAAACTTTCACTTGCTCTTCAAACAGCATCAGTTTTGCCCTGAATGACTTGACATGCATAAATAGGTCACAAACCAAATTTGTTTCACCTTGCAATTTCAGATTCAGATGATTCATATGGTCTGTCAAATCCGTAAAAAATGCCAATTTCCAAAGCGAGCCAGTGTTTGATAAAAGTGGTTTGGGTCGATTATTTCCTTTGAAAAATGAATTTATTTCTTCCCTGAGCTGAAAGAAGCATGATAGAACTGTTCCACAACTTAGCCATCGAGCTGCTGTGTAATAAGACAAGTCTATGTGCTTTGAATCAATTTCTTTCAGAAGATCACGAAACTGGCGATGGTTAAGCCCATGAGATTGAATTAAATTCACTACTGAAACAAAAGGTTTAAGAACGCAAGACTTATCCTCATATTTTCCACACAATGCTTGTTGATGGATAATGCAGTGCAGAAACATGGGCTTTGAGAATCCACCAACCTCACAAACTTTTTTGATTTGTCCATCCAAACCTTTCTTTGCCCCAGACAAGTGTTTTCCTCCATCAATTGTCATGCATTGCAGTTTATTCCACTCCAGGTTATATTCTGTCACAGTTTTTTGCAGTACTTTGAAGATGTCTTCTCCAGTTACTGTGCTGTGATGCCAATGCTTGTGCAACATTAAATTCACTGTCAACACCATGAATGAACACTAAAAGTTGTGATATAATACACACATTAGTTGATTCATCAAGTGCAAGAGAATGCACCTGCATTTTTTTTTTGCTTTTACTGTAATTTGATGAACTATTATCAGGGGTGGACTGACCATTTGGAAACTCTGGCACTGCCCGAGGGCCTGGGGTCAGTAGGGGGCCCCATGAGATGCCCCTGGTATTTTTTTCATAGACTTTTTGAGTTTGGGCAAGGACACAGGGGCCCCATGATCCCCTATTGCCCGGGGGCCCCATGAGTTGTCAGTCCGCCCCTGACTATAATGCTTTCTATATCATCAATTCTACGAGCAACAGTATTTGGTGCAAGACTTATAGTTTTGAAAAGATTTTCTTTTTCTGCGCATAACTCTTCCACTGCTTCCATGATACACTCCTTTATGAGATCTCCATCAGTGAATGGCTTTCCTCTTTTAGCAAATGTATAAGCTACTTTGTAACTGGCCCTGGTTAAAGCTTCATTTTCACTTTTCTTTTGTTTAAATAGAGCTTTTTGGGAAAGCAAATTGCGTTGCATCGATTGAAATTTTTCTGAATGCTGTGTTCCTGTGAATTTGGAATAACTTTGTTCATGTTTTGTCTCATAGTGCTGATGCAAATTGTACTCCTTCAGAACTGCAACAGTTTTGTTGCATATGAGACACAAGGCTTTATCACCTATTTGTACAAAAAAGTATTTTATGCTACATTGTTCATTAAACAGGCGGCACTCGCTGTCTACTTTTCTTTTCTTTTTTCTTTCCATACTTTACTGAAGGGATTTCTGAACAAGGAAAGGATTTGGGATTTTACCCTTACATCAGAATCAACAAAGTCCCCCCTTACAACAAAGTCCCCCCTTACATCAGTGTCCCCATCAGAGTCCCTTCTTACATCAGTGTCTTCCACAAGATGCTTCTTTACATCTCTGTCCCCATCAGAGCCTTTACGCACATCTGTGCCCCCCATCAGAGACTCCTTGCACATCTGTGTCCCCATCAGACGCAAAAGCACAATACATGTCCCCATCAGAGATTTCCACACATTTGTGTCCCCATCAGAGTCTCCTTGCATGCCTGTGTCCCCATCAGAGAACCCGTGCACATCTGTGTCTCCATCAGAAAACCCTTGCACATCTGTGCCTCCATCAGATCTTCTTCTCCAGCACCTGCCTGTAGATAGGCCCCTGCTCTACACTCCAGCCTCTCACTCCATCTTCCACCCAACACTGACCCCCTAATGCAAAGACTCTGCCACTTTTGAGGATTGCCCTGGACACCATTTTCAGCCTCCTGCCAGCGGATTGTCCAGGGTCCCTCAAATATGCAGATCTAGGCCTTCACTCCTCCATCACCGGTCGTCCAGTTCTCAAAGTTTCTGGAAAGGTGGGAGGGCTCCAGATGCCCTGACCTGTCCTGAGGTGAACTCCTGCCTCACTCCCAGGCTAACTCATCCCCTGCTTACTCAGTCTAAAAAAAAAAAAAACATAACTAGCTGGCTAACCTAGTGGGCGTTCCATCTAGTGACAATTAAAATGTATTAAAGTATGAATCTGATGACTCTGAAATATGTATCTGACCTCTATATTTTAATGGAAATAAGAAAAATCTTGGTAAGCTTGTTATTAATTGGTAAAATGTACATCCAGGCAAAACAGTTTTAATCTTGGATATAATGGGATATAATTACCTGTCATCCTGTCAGATTTATACTACTATCGTCCCCTAGTCTACTAATAAACATTTTTTTCCATCGATGATAATGTTGGAGATACATCTTTACCTCCTGTCTGTTAAAACTATTGTCACTAGTATGATAATTGAGGGTAAATCTCTCTAACAGCGTCCCCAATGGCAATAAAAATCCTACAGGGGCTCTAAACTTTCCACACTACATCAAAAACTATGTCTTTGATATGTCTCAACATACACTTGAAGGAATCCATCAAAGTTTTATTGTCTTTTCTTGAATCACAAAGGTAGTGTCAACTGCTTCACCAGACTTGTGATCAGAAGCTTTTCTCCTGAGCAACCAGGAAGTTCCACAACGGATGACCATATAGAGTCGATTCCTTAATTTGGTTGTTAAGAAAATCAAGCAGATAGAATATATAAACTGGAAAAATGTTCCAAATTAAATACATCCAGAAAATACCAAATAATTTTATACCATGTTGTTCAGTGATATTTACTATAATACACGAAGCACATGTTAGAAAAGAGACCACTATAAATGTCATTGCTTTATGGTAGGTGTCTGTGCTGCTCCTGACATTTCTACAACTTTTCAATCTGCTCATGTGAAAACCAAGGAAAATAACCAGAAGGACCGATGATGCAAAATACAGGAGAAGTGGAAAAAAACTACACAAAAAATAAAGGGCAGCTATTATCTGAGTAGGTTTCTCATTGTCTGAAATGTAATTTTCAGTTGAATTCCTAAACAAAATAACATTGAAAACTAACCAGATACATAAATGAGTATATAAATCCCAGGGGCACAGAAGCAAAAATCATGTAGACGACCCTCCTTGAGATGATAGTCTTCAGATGTAAGAAGAAGTCATTTTGAAAGGTGGAGATCCTGAAGCTGAAGAAGATGGAGAGCAGAGTTGATAACAAGATGCTAGAAAAATCTGAGGTTTGCCAGGTGCATAAAATAAATAAACAAAATATTTTGTCAAACTTTGTAGAGTACAGCTCTGAAAACATGTCCATTAGGGAAGAAAATAGACAGAAGAACCTTGATATGCCAATTGAGGTGATGATTTGGTCAGTTGCCTTTATCAACCTTCCCTGCAGCCAGTCAATGAGATTCACAACCACAATAAAGGATTGCACTAATAATCCTGCCAACATGAATATTCCAGAAGTGACAACTGCAACCCGATTGTTATTATATTCTCTCTCTGTAGAATTGGACATCTCTACAGTCATATACAAGATTGTCTTTTCAAAAGGAAATGTATTCAGCTTATTATTGGAAAATAACATAATTTAGCATACGATGCAAATGGCAATGCAAACAATGTTCAGCTGGGTCACTCATTATTCAAATAGATAAGGTGGGAGTCAATTTGACTATATAACACATTCACGGTTGTTGTTATCAGGTCCCCTAACTTCTTACCTGGTTTCAAAAATTAGTCATTATCTTCTTTGATGCAAGCACTAAAATCCAAGATAAATTGTAATGCATGTTAGTAAGTATGTATTTTATGTGATTATTATACTGTATTACATAATATTGCCTGAAAGCATATTTGATGTAAATTTCTCATTTTTACCTGCTTGGTGTTGTATATATTTAGGAGTATATTATTAAAATATATGTCCAGCCAAAGGTTTTTTTGTTATAGTTTTAGAGAAAGTAAATGTAGCACTACCCCAGTAGGAGTTGCTAGAGATTTGGGTCCCCAAACCCTAGATACTCCTTTATCCAGCTGTTCTGGGTGAACCCCTGGACAGGGGATCCAGTGCCTGTCACTCTAAGGGTAAGACAGTCCTGGGCAGCAACTAATGTAGTTTCCCACCAGAGTGTTCCTTTCCCATACTGGGCCTGGGGGTGCAGGCCTACTCACTCAGTCCTCTTCCTATGAGCTGCTGCTTTGGTGGTTGCTCTCATGACTTCTGCTGGGCTGCTCCTTCCCTGCTGCATAGGTGGTCCGCACTCTGGGGGCCGATGAGGTCCTAAGCTTTCCCCCTTTCCAGTTCCTTTGCCTCTAGGTGAGCCCATTCCCATATGGGCCCCCTCCCAGGCTTCTGATCTCCAGCCTCTCATTTTCCACCCAAACGTTCCTGTAACTGAGCATGTTTTCTCACTCTTAAGGGCTGTCCCAACCCTATGCCAAGCCTCCTGTTGGGGATTAGTGAGAATCCCTCAAGAGTGCAGATCAGCCACTCCTAACTCTCTACCACTGCTTCTAGAATTTTCTAGAGCAGGGGGAATTCCAGAGAGCTGGTCTGCAGAGCCTCTCAGCTCTGACCTGAATTGACCTCCCTCTGACTATTACCACAGGCTGCTACTCAGCCTCTTTCTAACAATTGGATTTAGCTATCTAGGAGGGTGCTACATAAGGAAGGGTTAGCATAGTGCTGTTCTTTGAAAGCTTACTACATGTGGCAGTCTATCCCCTTGTGAATTCCATGGTGTGCTGATGTACTCACTCTGCCCTCCTTGTTCCTACTGCTCCCAGGCACTGATCCTGTTCATACCATATTGCTGAATGGACTATAAGCCAGCCCAAGCCTAGCCTAGAGGCCAACCCCCCTAGACCTAGGGGACCCCTCCCAAGCCACCGAGAGTCTCTTCAGCACTCCATCTTCCACCAGATTCCTTTCCAGTCTGGCTATCCCATATTTATGGGCTGGTCCACAACTCTACCAGGGCCTCCAAACCTGAGATTGGTTATACTCCCATAAACATGCAGATGAGGTCTCCACCTCTTCCACCTAGTGGAATGTTCCACATTTTGTCATGTTACACCTAAAAATTTAAATGTATTTTATTAGGATTTTATTTGATAGACCAACACAAAGTAGCACATAATTTTGAAGTGGAAGGAAAATGATAAATTGTTTTCAACATTTTTTTTTTACAAATAAATATCTGAAAAGTGTGGCGTGCATTTGTATTCAGCCCCCCTGAGTGACTACTTTGTAGAACCACCTTTCGCTGCAATTACAGCTGCAATTCTTTTTGGGTATGTCTCTAGCATTTTGCTTTTAGGCCAGAAAGTTCAATTTTGGTCTCATCTGACCAGAGCACCTTCTTCCATGTGTCTGCTGTGTCCCCCACATGGCTTTGCGCAATCTGCAAATGGGACTTCTTATGGCTTTCTTTCAACAATGGCTTTCTTCTTGCCACTCTTCCATAAAGGCCAAATTTGTGGAGTGCACGACTGATAGACTGTCCTCTGGACAAATTCTCCCATCTGAGCTGTGGATCTCTGCAGCTCCTCCAGAGTTACCATGGGCCTCTTGGCTGCTTCTCTGATTAATGCTCTCCTTGCCTGGCCTGTCAGTTTAAGTGGAGGGCCATATCTTGGTAGGTTTGCAGTTGTGCCATACTACATACTTTCCATTTTCAGATGTTGGATTTAACAGAGCTCCGTGAGACGTTCAAAGCTTGGGATATTTTTTTATAACCTAACCCTGCTTTAAAACTTATCCACAACCTTATCTCTGACATATCTGGTGTGTTCCTTGGCCTTCATGATGCTGTTTGTTCACTAATGTTCTTTCACAAACCTCTGAGGGCTTCATAGAACAGCTGTATTTATACT